CCCAGTGCCTCCCGCCCACCAGCAGTCCCGCCAATCAGTGCCTCCCCCTACCTCCCCGCTGTTTTGTGGCATGCAGGAGGCTCGGGGAGGGGGGTGGTGGGGGAGGAGCGAGGGTATGGCAGGCTCAGGGGAGGACGTGGGAAGGGCCTGTGGCAGAGTCAGGAGTTGAGCAGTGAGCATTCCCCAGCACACTGGAAAGTTGGCACCTGTAGCTCCAGCCCTGGAGTCGGTCCCTGTACAAGGAGCCGCATATTAACTTCTGAAGAGCAGCATGTGGCTCCGGAGCCACAGGCTGGCCACCCCTGATTTAAATCATAAGTATAAATCAATGACCCAAATCATATAATCTTTAGTGATCCAAAATCCCACTGATATGCTTTATGGGAGTTTTACGTTAGTAAGGAGATTGGTACAGGCGCAATCACTGTTTATCTTACATTTATCCTTTCCTCTGACAGACCATCAGTTCTTTACCGCCTTTAAAAGTACTATAAAAGATCAACAATCAAGAAAAAACAAACATTAATTTTGTTATATTTTACTACTTAAAATTGATTCCACATTACAATAGCATTTGGGTGATGCCGCAACAATCATTTAGCAGAAACATATCTAAAACTAAGCAAATAATAATGTGCCAGCATTAAGTATGATGTATAATGGATGAAAACATTTCAGCAGCCTCTAAATAAAAAAGTTTCATCATCTAAATAAATAGTTGCACAGCATGTGGATTTCTGTGAAATTGGAGAATTGCAAAAGACACAGCTACTGCAAATCACTCGGCGTGAGGTTTGTGTTTTATTGCTAGACGTGACGAATAGGGGAAGCTGAGCAAAGACTACCTAATATGAATAAAACAATCTAATTTTAGCCAAGTAAGAAGAATTGCATAGGTATCCTAGGATCTCTTAAAATGTTTAACTTTCTAAAACATTTGCACAGTGGTAATAATATTTGAGAGATGAACTGTTAAGCTTCATAGACCTTGTTCAAGCTAGAGTTTTGAAATTATTGGGGAGAGGTAGATTAGATAACGTATATCTCACTCCATAAAATCGATAGTTTTCTTTATTTGCAGAGCACACAAAGAAAACATTGAAGAAAGATTCTTTGTATGAAGGACTTCTACCTCTGGTATCTCCTGTGCTGCTGTTTGTGCTTCTTACTATCTGGGTGATTTTATCACCGTGTGATACATTAGCAAAACAAACCAGGCTATTTTTATGGATGGCTGGTGTTGTCTTCTCAAATGTTATTGTAAGTATTTTTGTGACTACGGTTTATATGTAGAGACACTATTCTAGGAGTAGAATTAAATTGTTCTTTTACTTGATGTGTCTAAAAGAAAGAAAAGAGCAACATTAGTTAAAAAAACTCACCAGAATCACTTTCACTCCTCTTGTGCCACTGGAATTAAGTGTCTAAATAGCGTGTCCACATTACACCCTCATTTATAAAAATATACTACACCAATTGCCTGAAAAGTTAACGCTTTCAGCAGTGTTAGTACAGGTTTTTGGATATTTATTCCAGATTAGTGTAAAATTTTTAAGGTCTCTTTTCCAGGGCTTTATGAACATTGCTGTCTTTATTTCATGAAACATACCAGATATCCTCCAACACGTAGGTATAATTGGGTACTCCCCGATTAATCGGGTACTCCCCAGTTTAGACCACCACCACAAGTACTATAGTATAAGTAATATTTTGAGGGCATAAGTGATGCCTTGCGATGGTCCTCTGAATTTCTCTTACATTACTTGTTCATTGTGCCTTAGCACTCTCTTTCTTCATCTAATGTAGATGGAAAATAAATCTTTGTGAAGAAGCAATATGGAATACCATACAACAAAACTGAACATAATTCTTAATATTCAAGCTCTCACTGAAATCAAGGGTTAGGCCTTGATTCACGACAGCGCTTGATTTCAATGGGACTTAAGCACATGTTTTGCTAAATCAGGGCCTTGTGTTGAAAAATTTGCCTGCCCCAGGACAAACCCTGAATAACTGGGCTTCATGCATGGCACTAAGTTTTGGAAACATATCGAATCCATATGCCTCAACCTGCAAAAGATATTGTATAACTCCAAATATATAAGTTTACTTAAGTAAATAATGCAACTCAATATATAAGGATGAAAAGATTTTTTGAGAATTATAGGAAGTGAACAATTAACTTCATACAGAGAGCTGCAAATGCACTGAGATGTTGGACAACCATTATATCTGTAAAAAGAAAAGGAGGACTTGTGACTTATGCCCTCAAATTTGTTAGTCTCTAAGGTGCCACAAGTCCTCCTTTTCTTTTTGCGGATACAGACTAACACGGCTGCTACTCTGAAACCTGTCATTATATCTGTGTACACCTTTTCAGTATAATTGTTCCTCCACAGGTAAATATATTTTAGTTGTTTTACAGGAAGATGCACATTTTACCGCATATTTTGAACAACACTTCTGGTATAATTTCCAGGACACAGTTTCACTATAAAAGTGAATATCAATCAGTACTATGCTCATTGTAATTAAGTATTTATTACTACAGTATACAAGAGTAGGTTAGTTTGGCATACAGTACCACCAAATTTAACATGTACAGAAACGGAAGTTTCCTGCATTACAGGAGATGTGAAATCCTGTCAGTTCAGGATGGAAGCCATGAGCTCTCATTGGAGGCCTCTAAACATTTATTTTGTAAAACCAGGAATGGATATTCATGGATAGTGCTCATGTTCAAATATCCTTTTAAAAATATGCTTGGCAGTCACAACTGAATAAGCTCCATCTTGGAGACTGCACTCTGCCATGTGAGGGGTGCCTCATTTGTCAAGGGTACAAGCGCAATTGTATGAATTTGTCATTCCATTTACATTTCTAAGAGAGCTGTGTATGTTCTTAAGTGAGAAATACGGATTTCCTGCCAGTGAGGGAAATCTGACGGGCAGTAGGCAAATATTAAATAAGCATCTCAACCAATGAAGAACAATAGTGTCAAGATACTTTTAAGGTGAAAACAACAAGGTGACCCAAAAGTTCCTTGTTATGCTGCAATTTGTTGCAGCTAATGAGTATAGTATGTATTTCAAGATCCTGTCTTACTGAGATAATTACTGCTGAATTAGAGGGTTACAGCAATTAAAATGTGTAAATAAATAGTAATTGAACCACTAACATTTCAAAACCAAAAGAAGCCATCTTTTTTCCTCCTCTCCGTTGGTACCTTTTATACATATTCCCTTCAGAGACTAAGTAATAGTTGTCATAGCAATAGAGGTTCACCCTGAGATTCTGATACACTGGGTTTTCATTATCTGCCCTAAAGACCACAAATTGCTGCCCACTGTTCTCTACCTGCCAGTATCTTGCATGTCTCATTCCTTTCACAACATATTTATTTGTCCACTAGACACTTTTGACTTCAAGCCTGCTTTCAACTTGACCTCAAAACCATGCAATGTCAGACTAGGTAGGTAAAGCAAGGGCCTCCTGGGGGGAAAAACAAGAAGAAAAAAGAAAAGCCTCTAATGGGAAGCTCTAAGAGACAGGCAGTTCCCAATATTTTAGCATCTAACTGGAAAAACAAGACTTTAAAAAAAAAAAAAAGGTAAGGTGTCTACCAGCAACTCATCCCCAAGAGACAGCTCTTGCCCCTCCCCCATACACCCTGCCCCTTTGGCAGGGGCAGCAGCACAGCCTTGGAGCCACTCCATTCATCCCACTTCTCTTCTGGTTTGAAGCACAAAACTTACTTCCCTCTATTCCACTCAGGGATCTCAAAATTCCACTGAGGGGTCTCAAAGGCATCCTGGGAAATGTTCAGGCAACATTGTTGGCTGGTCTGAGCACACAGTCACAAAAGGCAAATGTCATACTTCTGTCTGAACTACAGGCACACTTAGAAACTCCCCTAAGACAGGTAGAGATTTCCATTCAGAATAATAGAACACTTCGTATTGAGGATTTAGGATGGTGGATGGGAGAGTCTGAGCCCTTTTGGACCTCCTCATGGAGCTGGGTGTGGAGATTGCAACTGCTTGGGGGATTTCAGATTCACTGCTAACAAACGGATGGGGCGGAGGTGAGCATAACTGTGGAGACAGTTAACAGGGAGTTCAAAGTGGGAGAAGACTGAGGACCTAGACTGAAATATAAGACAACTGTAAAACGTACATGTTTAAGATCATCATAGCCAAAACAGAATTCTTAACCATTTCCCCGTCCCCACAATGGACACCATCCATCCATCATCACCACTCAGGCCCATAACCAGGGCGTCATCTTCAGCTCTGCTCTTTCTCTAGAGCCTCTGATCCAGGCTATGTCTAAATCTGGCCAGTTTTTTCTGAACCCAATAATAAATACTAAAACAATGGTAACAATACTCATAGAATAGAAAAAGAGAGGCTACTGAATAACCTTATAAAGACAAATATATATGTCGTGTGGCCAACTGAGGTCTAGGTAGGGAATACAAGTCAAATAAAAATACTTGTAGCATTGGAAAGGTGTAAACATTAAGGAAAGAGGAATTAGCTGGGTTGACACATGGGAATGAGGTTAACAGGATGGAATTAAGAACGAAAATTTTAACCTTTCAAAAAATATTCCTAACACAATTAGCTTGTGGAATGGGAATAGTGGAACTGACCTTTCTAAAGCCAGTTTAAATGGAACCAAAGCACTGAGAATAGATTGTAGGAAAAGATTCTGAGGGAAATGGGTTAGATCAGCAGAAGAGTCTTAATATCCCACTTCCATTTTTATCTGACAAACTCAGTTCTAACCTTTTTTCTACTGTCATCTGTAGTGACTAGAGTAGTTCAGGTTTAAAATAGTATATTATTTATTGGCCAATATATCTCAGAACTAGTAAATGACTGCAATTACAATTCTTTATGCACAATATATTTTGTTGATGCCTTATGTTAATGGAAGTAATTTATTGTGATGGAAACTGGGAATAATGTGAGTAAACATTACAAACACACTGAGAATTTAACAAATCAGTTTTAATGGAAAATCATATTTAACATAATTAACAATACATATTCCACCTTCTGGATATATGCAGTTGCTCAGCAAAAAAGACACTATGTATGTAATAAGAAGATTACGGTAACTTACTCTTGTTGATATACTGCAAAGTACAACACAGCTCCCTAAGTGAATTCTAAAATGGATTGTATTTTAAAAGGGACACTGTCAACTTCAATAATACATTGTAAGCCAGTGTGTTTACCTGCACTATTAATAATTACACCTTAAATTACTGAATGTGAAATAAATTTACATACTTTATTTTTTCCATTTTTTAAGCTTCCACGATGAAACAGTGAAGTCAGTGTCACCTTTACTTTCAGAGTCGTAATACTGTAGTGTCTGGATTTCAAACACTACAGGGGAATGAACTTTTCATTTGATTTTTTGTGTGTGGAAGTTTTTCTATTGATTTTAGGATTTATAAAATGCAAATTTTTACTACATTTCAATTTTGAGCCAAGCTTAAGTTGACAAGGGGTAAAATTTTCAAAAGTGCACAAGTGATTTAGGAGCTTATTTCATTTTCATAAAATGTTTTTGGCTCTTAAGCTCCATTGACTTTCAATGATACTTAAGCCATGTCTACACTACAGCATAATTATGGCACTGCATCTGTGCTGCTGTCGTGCCATGGTGTAGATGCTTCCCAGACTGATGGAGGGTTTTTTCCCATCCTTGTTGGTAATCCACCTCTCTAAGAAGTGGTAGGTAGGTTGACTGAAGAATTCTTCAGTTGATTTAGCTGTGCCTACCAGTGGGGTTAGGTTGACCTAACTACATTCCCCAGGGCACAAATTTTTTCACAGCCCTAAGTGATGTAGCTAAGTTAAATCTAATTTTCAAGCCTAGACCAGGCCTGGAGCCAAATTCTTAAAAGTATATAGGCACCTAAAGATGTACAGAGGTGCCTCATGGGATTTTCAAAAAGCACTTACACTCCTAACTCCATTGATTTAATGGGAGTTATGCAACCAGTGGCTTTAAAAATTCCATTAAATCCCATTTGAACCAATTGAATTAGGTGCTTTTGAAAATCCTACTAGGAGTCTGTCTGGATCTTTAGGTGCCTAAATACCTTTAAAAGCTGACCCATAGAAACCTAAGTCACCTTTGAAAATGGGACTTAGGTGCTTTTGAAAATTTTGTCTATGGTTTGGTATTTAGTCATTTCAAGCTGAAAGAAACTTTGGTTAAGGATATGAAAATTCATGTAGTGAAAATACATAGGAGACCAATATATTACAATAGTATTACAGTATTCAGGATCTCACTAAAACACTAATACTTGTGATTTATACAGCACTTTATATGTTCAGTCCATCACTTTGACCATGATCCTTCTACCTCAACCCATTGCTCCAATGTTTAAAGTTTGATTTAGTATTACATTTTTGAGTGTGTGAAAACAAGTGTCAAACAAGCTGCCCTTTATGCAAAGTTATTTTTAAATTCAAAGAGTAACATGTCAAAACACTGTCTCCATAAAAGATATGTACTGTATGTTTTAAATTACATGTAATAAAGTGCTGTAAAAATCACAGCCAATAAAGGAGCAAAGACAATCATTTATGATAAATCCCCATCTTGGAACTACCCATGTTTCCTAAGCCACACGCTTTTTCAACTGAAAATACTCTAGCAGACAAATTAATACGCTTCCTTTAAATAAATTGCTCCAATACATCTTACCTGACTGATTACATTATTCTAACAGTGCAGACTGATAATTTGCCAGGCAAGTGACACCAGATCTGAAGCTTTCCACTGGCTCCTGTTTCCATGAGCTCTCGTGGTCTACGCAGTGGTAACAGGGCTCCTGGGCAAGAATGAGGAAATGGCACTTACCATATTCACTATGTTAACCACAGCTGTTCACGTACGCTATGGAGTTTGTGTGGTAAATACATGTTTTTTATAATTTTATTAATAATTGCAGGTATAGAAAAAGTTACAGCTGAGGCAGTAGGGAGAAGATACATGTGTCAGATTTGGTGTGATTACTAATAACATACAAGTGTGGCAGTATGCTATACTTTGAATTTTTTTTTAATTCATTCTTTGCTGTGTATTTATCTTTAGTCCAAAGGAAAACAAACTTGTTCATTATGGGCACTGCATCTCTTGCCCCCAAGTACAGAATCTTTAGTGGCTCAAAATATTGCAGGGACAGAGATTATTATCAGCTAAGCCTATCATAGTCATAATCTTTGTTGATTGGTTTTATGTAACAGTTTATGAGTGTCCTGCACTTCCCCCAGCCTCTTCGCTAGGAGATTAATCTAATGAAGTTAAAACAGAGTAAAATACAAAACATATTTAAAAAATGGTCATTTTGTTTTGAATGTGCAAAGCAGCATTTCAAACATTTAATTTATGTTGCCTCCTCCACCAGCTCCCATGTTAGAGGTACCATGGTGTCATTGTGTGTGTGTTCTAGGAATATCTTCCGAAAGCTTTCAGATTAGCTGGATACCGTTTGAATTTATTTTTGGCATTTATCACCATCTGCGTTACTGATCAAATTCATTCTTCTGCAGTCAATAGCATTTTGTCCTACCAATTTTGTAGAATAATCCTTAAAACATGCCCTAATTTGACTTTGCTTTAAGAGCAAATGTCCCAAATAGCAAAAATTTCATTTAGAAAATATACAGTTGACATCCTTTTATTGAAGACCTGGTGCTGCACTGTATGGGAAAGCTTTGCCTCCTGCCTTGAAAAAAATGTTCCCTTGTCAGTGTGTGGATGCAAGTGCCGTAATAGATTTTAAGACATTTGTCAATCCAGGCCAAAATAGCACAGATTAGATCTGAATTATTTGGACCAGATTCAATGCTGGCATAAGAGGGCCTAATTCTATTCACTTCTTTTGCCACCTGTGAATCTAGTCCCCAATGGCTTCATCTCTCATCAATACACTACATGAGGAATTTAAAATCAAAACTCACTAGCTTTAATGCTTAGAATTCCAAACCTAAAACTCCCAGTGAGTGGGAATACAGAGACTTGGAATTCTTGTGCAGGTACAATAATGTTCTCATCAAAACATGCAACCCTCTTTAATTTATCTTTAGGGGAGGCAGCTGAGTAAGCATTTCAACATTTACATCTTTTTGTTGAAGAAACACATTCAAGAATGAACATCTTTGCTGTGACCAGAGCATAAACCTTACCATGGAGCTTCTCATTTGTGTTTCTATGATGAAAATAGTGGTGCTTTGTTGATTAAAATAACCAAAGAGTATAATGGGCTCGATATGCAAACGGCTGAGACAATGAGCTACTCAGCAAGCTTCAGAGAAAGCTAGTCCAGTGATCAAAGTATTGCTAGTCATTCTGCTGCCTATGTTGCCTATCCTATCTTCTTCCTCTTTGCCCAGAATATCAAGTTTGAACTTCTTGTCCCTACCTTCGAAACCCTGCACAAATCAGTCCTAGGCGATACTACATCATTGAACTTTTTAAATTGTGCCCTCTCTCTATCCTGTCCATTCACCAATGAAGCCAGTTTTGATGTCCCCTACACTTCCTTCCCTGGCTCATATGTTTGTGTCTGCTTAAGTGATGCTGTATTTGTGTGGAACTTCCAATATGCCAGCCACATTCCATTTCCTAAAGTCTCACTTCTCTGACACTCCCCCCAAATACTAACCCATGTCAAATGCTTTATTTACCTCAAGTTAATCAGTGAAGAGCATCAGATGAGGAAACTTCAAGCAAAACAAGATCCTTTAAATCCCACACTCTCTTTGGTTCTCAGTGATCCTTGTCTGATCTATATTATTCAGATTGCAAGCTCTGCAGGGCAGGGATTGCCCTTACATGTGTGTCTTATACAGCACAAAGCACATTGTTGGTGCTTACCTAAGAAACAACAATATACCCCACTCCAATCTGGTTGTTTATGAAAAGAAAACTTGTACACTAGAAGGCTTTGAAGATTCTCTGAGGGCTTGTCTACACATGCTGCAGTGCATCTGGTGAAGATGCTCTATGCCGACGGGAGAGAAGCTCTCCCACCAATATAGTGCTGTCCATATCAGGGCTATATGTCAGTGTAACTTATGTTGCTTGGGGTGTGGTTTATTCACACCCCTGAGCACCGTAAGTAATGCCGACATAAGCTGTAGTGTAGACATAGCCTAATCTTGTTGTGAAGGTAGGGCCTGAATGCTAGAGTAACTGGGCAAACAAATTTGAAAAACCAAATAGACACAAAGTGAGTGGCCTGCTAGATCCTTTGTGCACAGTATTTTTTTCAGCCTCATCTAGGTATGCAATACATACTAATCAGTTCTTTGCCTGCATTCTTTACTATCTAGGCCAATAAATCTTCTGGTGCATATAGCAGGGTTGCAAATTCCTGTTGCTATTTAAAGTACATTACTCAGGTTACACAGGAAATAAGAATTTGGGGGTGGAGTGGGAGGAGGGCTACAGCGATATTTAAAAATACAAGTGTTCGTCCTTCACTGAAAAATGCTTACTTTATTTAAGTTTACGTCCTTTGTGATTGGGCTCTCTTCCTCTCACATGCTGTCCTAGCCAAAGAGGCTTTCTGACTCGTCCAAGGTATTCAGGTGTGCGTCAATTGTGCTTGCATCACATCAATTCAAGCCAATGGTTAAGTCAGCTACTTAGGGAAAGTTCTACTATCCCTCCTTGAATGACGAGTCCCCTTCCATCTATGGAGGTGAAGGTGAGGGTTGGGTTGCCCCAGCCTTTTTGGGGTCTCCAGAGCAGGATTCCAGTGCTGCATGAAGGAATACTTGCTGCACCTACCAGGTCTAAAGGATTGTGTATTTAATGAGATGCTAGAGGGGAAGCCCCGAGTGCATGTAGCTAAGAAACTGAAGTTTCAGACAAAGATTCTGAAGTCTCATTCTTTGATGGAATTAAATATTAATTCAAATACTTTATATATTGGAACAGAATTTTCTCACCTACTTTGACACCTGTAGATTTTCGAAGTTTTTTTTTTTTAAATCCATTCATCAAAAAATATCGGGAAAATATTTGGGTGAATACAAGCAAATCATAATTTTTTAAGTACAGTGTATGAAAAGTATGTGTAATAGAAATATACACCTCAGTAGTTATATCAGGATCATTATCTTTGTATTGTTGCTCCCCGCACAATTTATTTGTAAACTGTTGGAAGTGTACATGTACATAAAAGTGTCTTAATTTGGTGCACTGTATTGTAGTACCTTAAAATAGTTCACTAACTTAAAAGACAAAACTTGAAACGCCACCATCCTGTCCATGTCTCTACTATATTGATTTTTTAAAATGCATAGCACAGAGTTTTAATGTAAATGAATTCCTTGTACTATTTAATGTGGAAGCTATATCACATATGCAATTTTTATCCATTTTTTTAAAATTAACTGTCAAGCTACATTAGAGCAAACTGAAGTATAGATGCAGATTATGTACTGTACAGTGTATGTTACACTGTTAGAGAATGTCTTGGAAAATAAGTCAACTTTGATTCAACAAAATGGAATAGAGTGGTTTGTTCACAGCAGGGCAGTATGAGCACTGACTGACTTTTCACAAGGTCTGCTAAGGACTATGGAGAAGATAAACTGGAAACCGTGCCTCCTTTTACTTGGTACATCTGTGCAACAGATGGTTAGTTTCACCATCATTTTCAAATGAAAGTTATTTAATAAGTGAAATTTATACTCTTTATGATGGGGCATGTTAGACATTGGAACATAGATTTGCTTACCTATTCTGATGAAGGGCATCTATCGTAATAATCTTCTCACTGTGACAAAGAACTTAAATCTGGTTGGTCTGAATGAGATTTCTGCCTACCCCTCCATGGCCTTCTGTTCTTCTTCCCCACCAAACTTTAGTAATTTAAGAACTGTTATAGTACATGCTAAAGAAGCTGAATTGACCTCATGCTGAATGGATGGACAAAGCAGCCTTCTCTGAAGCTGTGATGAAACATTAAAGCAAACCTCTAGGTGGAGATCAAGAGCAATTTAGATTAGATCCTTCCTTCCTCTAGGAAGGGAAGCATTCCCTGCCCCCCAGTAGTGTTCCCTAAGGCTTAGCAGCAAATACCTAACACACTTTCCCACACTACACTGAGTCAGATCCATGGAGTTGGCTTTAATGCATTCTTTCAGCTATTTCGTCACACAGAGCAAGTATTTCTGATCCCAATTTAAATCTTTTAGAGATTGCACTTAAGATGGCATCCCTACCGTTAGACCTCTGTGGCAAAGGTCCATTTGGAATTTCCCTGAATTTCACTATAATATTCCCTCTTCACCTCTTAGTTTACTTTTGCTGTACCTACATCCAAACTAAACTACAGCTGCAAGAGATTTAGTACTCTGAAACTGGAAAAAGTTTGCCAAAAGAATAATCTGCATCTTATTTTATTTTTTTTATATTTTCATTCATCTCATCCTGAGATTTGTGGAAGGGTGATACAGTTGTTGGGCTCCTGAAAAGAGATTTCTACATACATTATGAACCACATTTCCTTTTAAAGCATTTGGCTTTTTTTCCCTTGCTCGCATTTGCAATTAATAATGAAACAGTTTAATATATAAATAGAAAACTACCACTTTAAACTGTTTTGAATAGTCTCTAGAGCTACACAGATTTTAACATATACTTTTTTTTTTATTAAATATGTAAAAAGATAAACGCAAGTCAAGTTATTCACATATTCAGAGACCAAAAAAAAAAAAAAAAATCTACTCTACCATGCGACAATTTGTGGGTAATGTAAAATGAGTGATACATCTGAATAAGACTTTTTGCATCTATGATGTCATTACTTATCTATTTATAATTAACAATACATATGTTTACATTCCTTTCAGTTTACATTTAATATATAACCAAAGCTTTATGGTGTGCTATTTAGTAAAAGTAATTACAAATGCATATTAAAACCATAATGGAATAATGGTGTTACTCACCCGGGCAGGAGGACAACTCTATCCCCTTCCAGAGTATCACTCCTCACCACATTTGAGGCTCTCAGGCTTGGGAAGGTAACTACCATTCCTGTGCCCTACATCAATCACTTCCTGCCTGATACAAAGTAGTGAAAGGGTTATACTCCTCAGACCAATTACAAGGCAGAGTAGGAAGAAAGGGAGGAAAGGACAGGTTGGCTTTTTTTATACTTATAGCTGAAAAGGGTAGGGTAGAGTAGCCTTGTCGAGAACCACCTCGCAAGCAGAAAAATCTAACCATTTTGCAGCCTTGGAAAAACACTTTAAGGAAGACCTCTTCAATGTCTGCTTGCCTATAAATGGGAACATGATGGAATTGTATCAGTGATCACAATCTGGTGCTGATGCCAGTAGCAGGGTAGGGTCTGATCCTGAATTTCTTGCGCCACCAGAACTTCCCCAGATGCTAATGGAAATTTCTGAGACAAAATTAAGAACTGTGCCCTAAATGCTGACATTATATCCTTATAAAAAACTCCTCACTTTTTAATTTGCTTTACATATAGGATTTTAATTGAAACCAAGCAAATCAATTAAACTAAAAATAGCAATGAAAGTACTACATTGCAGGGTACAGCACTTTCACTACCTATTATTGGGTAGGAAGTGAGGTCAATGCTGGGGTCAGGGCCAGAAAACTCTTTCAACCCACAGGGACTGGATACTATGCTGCTGAGCCGAGGGAGCAATTGAGGAAATGGAAACACCTGTTCTAATGTTTAAAGGTATTTTATGTACTGGCTGTGGTATGAAACTCAGTAGGAGTGATTGCTCACATTTAACTAAATTAGATTAACGTTGCTGCAAAAGATTTGAGAACTGAAGATTTTTTTTGAATTAAAAAAACCTTCTGCTTCAGTATAAATTTAGTACCGGAGCTTAATCAGTAAAGCAACTCCATAAAGATTTTAAAAAAGATACAGCATTCAGAAGGTTTTATTGAGCTTTTCAATGATAGTAGCCTGGGATGCGACTTCTCCTTGTGCCTGCCAAATCAAATAACCGAAGTAATAAATCTAGAATTAAGAAATCAAGCGATGGAAGCCAGGAACACCAAGTGTAAAAGAAAGGCAATACTGATTCAGAAATAGACCAAAAATGTGCTATTTTAAGATTTTTTAAAAATAAGGAATGCTTTTAAATGTATTTTATGCTATATTTCTGCCTACAAAATGCCATAATTTAGAACAGGATAACAAGTACCCTAATTAAGAGGAAACACCCTTGGCACAGAAGTCTCTAAATTCTGTTTCTGCACTGGGCCAACCTATCCAGCAGTGAGGTCAGTCAGCCTGCAGAACTGTTTTTGTCCCTTGCAGGTGATCCCCTGCTAATGTGTTCTTTACCTCTAACAGGACTTCTGGCTGGTTCACTAAGCATGCAGAGAGTGGCCTAAGCACCAATGGGGAAAATATGCCTTCAATCAGTAGTCAAATCATTTCATGTTTAAAAGGAGAATCTCTTAAGAGTTTCAGGACTGGTTCTGCAGCTGGTTTGCAGCACATCAACCTTGGATATGCCTAGCCCCAGTAAGGAAGTCTTCATCTTCCATATGTGTGTGGCCAAGGGGAGAGGCAGCAAGAGTAGGAAAGAGGAATGGCTGACCCACTTGATCCTCATTTGTAGGGGTGGCAGGCAGAATATAAGGTCAGAGATGGCATTCTGCAGATGCAGCTGCAGGAGAGAGGAGACTGTTGTCTCCCGAATCAGCACTGAGCTGGAGGCAGTGACAGAATTTCTAATAAATACATGTCCTTCAAAAGAAAGAAGCAGGGAAACGTCCTGTTGAAAAGTCAGGAAGTTGAGAGGACTTTCAAACAGCTAAGTAGACACGTATCTTCCAGAAATAAAAACATATCGTGCAGCTTTCTAACATGCTTTGGTGTAAAACACTCAGGGGGGTTTAAATCTTTATTAGGGAAACTGTTGCTTTGCCGTCTCTTTTGTGAATACAGGATAGGAACGATATGAGTCACATAAGCCTTTTCCCTCCACAACACATACCTCATCATTATAGCTTGAGTATCACTTCTAAAGTATCCCTTTGTTCCAACTGTTTGACCAAATTTATGCCCCGAGGCAGATGTACTTGAAAATACCAAAGCACCACCAAGTGACAAACACATCTAGTGGTACAGTACTTCTTGCCACAAGAGATGCCAATATAAACATTTTAGAACAAATTACAAATGTATCATACTTAAGACAAAAAGAAAAAATAAATATATATATTTTTTAAAAAGTGGAACAAATCTCAAGCAGCCAAGTGGTGAAGTTGCAGTGATGTACAGTAGGTGATGTAGCCCTACAACCTCTCAGGTAGACACACTGAAAGAAGACTTCTGCAAATGCATCTTGGCAAAATATGGGTACAGAATGCAGTGGTTTGCTTGCACTCACTACGGTACATAAATGTTAATGGCAGACTGGGAGTGACTGGTTTTGAGTTTGAGGCCACACATATTCCTTTCTCCAGAAGAAAGTTCCCATACAGAATGAAAACTGTCAAAGATGTTGGACAGGTCAGTATTCTTCCTGCTGCTGGGGCTGTTCATGAACCTGCTCCTCGCCTTCATGCTCATCTGTGTGGCTCTCCTGCATGTTTAAAAATAAAAAGAATAAAAGACTTCAACAGAACACACTCCTGATTTGATATATTACCATAGCACTAAACCTAGTCTATGTTTTGGCTCCTAATTTTCATTCAGGTATGAGGACAACAGGTAGCCATAATTTCAAGGCTACCAAGGCAAGACGTCTGTGTTGGACACTCCCACATCCCCTTTATTCTCAATATCCAAACTATTTTGCAAGTATGTCTGTTTAATACAACAGGATGAACCTTTGGGACTAAGGGGTTAATATTTGAAGAATTTCATTTCCAGTACAAAAGAGACTAGTTCAGTGGAATAAATGTTGCATACTAGTTAGCAGGACTCATAACAGGTTTATGGAAAAATAAGTTTCATAGCACTTTGGTATAGCTTTTCTTTTGTTACTTAAAGACTGAAAACTGGGATAAGACCCTGTTTAATATGGTCTGCTGCAGTGGCCTGTAGTACGTGATTGTGGTAAACAAGTTAAAACTGCACAATCGGTCGTAGGTTACAATTCAGACAAATCCACTTTAATATATTTCTGCAAGGTAGAAAACTGTTTTGTGTTTCTCAAGTATCATTTGACTTGTAGCTAGTAGGCAGCATGGGTTGCAGCTAATAGCTGGGGAAAGCACAGATTTACCATGGAATTACATTCTAATTAAGGCTGTCAAAACGATTAAAAAATAATTGGAGTTAATCACAAGATTAAAAAAATAGTTGTGATTAATTGCAGTTTTAATCACACTGTTAAACAGAATACCAATTTAAATTTATTATAAATATTTTTGGATTTTTTTCTACATTTTAAAACATATTGATTTCAATTACAACACAGAATACAAAGTGTACAGTGCTCACTTTATATTGTTTTTATTTCAAATGTTTGCACCGTAAAAAACAAAAGAAACCATGTTTTTCAATTCATCTCATACAAGTTGTCATAAATATAAAGGGAAGGGTAAACCCCTTTGAAATCCCTCCTGGCCAGGGGAAAGCTCCTCTCACCTGTAAAGGGTTAAGAAGCTAAAGGTAACCTCGCTGGCACCTGACCAAAATGACCAATGAGGAGACAAGATACTTTCAAAAGCTGGGAGGAGGGAGAGGGACAAAGGGTCTGTCTGTGTGCTGCTCTTGCCAGGGACAGAACAGGAATGGAGTCTTAGAACTTTTAGTAAGTAATCTAGCTAGGTATGTGTTAGATTATGATTTCTTTAAATGGCTGAGAAAAGAATTGTGCTGAATAGAATAACTATTTCTGTCTGTGTACTTTTTTTGTAACTTAAGGTTTTGCCTAGAGGGGTTCTCTATGTTTTGAATCTAATTACCCTGTAAGATATCTACCATCCTGATTTTACAGGGGGGATTTCTTTATTTCTATTTACTGCTATTTTTTATTAAAAGTCTTCTTTTAAAAAACTGAATGCTTTTTCATTGTTCTCAGATCCAAGGGTTTGGGTCTGTGGTCACCTATGCAAATTGGTGAGGCTTTTTATCCAACATTTCCCAGGAGAGGGGGGGGGTGCAAGTGTTGGGAGGATTGTTCATTGTTCTTAAGATCCAAGGGTCTGGGTCTGTAGTCACCTAGGCAAATTGGTGAGGCTTTTTACCAAACCTTGTCCAGGAAGTGGGGTGCAAGGTTTTGGGGAAGTATTTTGGGGGGAAAGACGCGTCCAAACAGCTCTTCCCCAGTAACCAGTATTAGTTTGGTGGTGGTAGCGGCCATTCCAAGGATAACGGGTGTAATATTTTGTACCTTGGGGAAGTTTTGACCTAAGCTGGTAAAGATAAGCTTAGGAGGTTTTTCATGCAGGTCCCCACATCTGTACCCTAGAGTTCAGAGTGGGGGAGGAACCTTGACATGGTGGCACAGTGGTGGGATTAACCTGAAATCATTTGAGATCCAGTTGAGATTTTTTGAACTAGAAATACAGATTTTAAAAAGGAAATTTTTTTTTCTTTGGAAAGAAAGTCCAGAAAGCAGCTTTGAAACTGAAAGCAGCTTGGTTTCTCTCTGCTTTGTGGCCAAGCAGAGACAAAAGGGGATTATCTTGTGAATTGCAGGTTTTCTTTGCCTGGAGGCAGGGTACTTAACTCCTGCAGGGAAGTCTTCCAAACCAGAGGGTTTTTTTTCTTTTCTTCCTAAAAGTAAATAGGGGGTGTGTGTTCTACCCATTTGCTTTTTCTTTGGGCTGGGTAAGCAGGTTTCCAAGCAGTTGGAGGTTTTTTGCTTTAATTTGGGCCCAGAGCAGAGACAAGGGAATTGTCTTTTTCTGTAGGCTGACAATCACTATCAGAGAATAGGTATTCTATTCCAGCACAGCAAAATTTTACAGCCAAGTTTTGTTTGTTTATTTCTAAACCTCGGGTGTAAAGTTAGTAAAAACAGAGAGGTTAGAATGGCAAAATCCGCGGCTCGACTACAGCTCGAATTAGCCAAATTTCAGGCTGAGGAAAGACAAAGGGAACATGAAAGACAGATAGAACTCATGCAGCTGAAGAAGGAACAAGAAATGGAGGCAAGGAAGCATGTGGAGGAGGAGAGGGAAAAAGAGAGGAAGCATGTGGAGGAGATGGAGAGGATAAAGGCCCAGCAGAATATACCAACAAACCCTAGCAATCCTTCTCCAGGTACCACTTCCCATCCCAGAAAGTTCCCCACCTACAAGGCAGGTGATGATACTGAGGCCTTCTTAGAAAACTTCGAAAGGGCCTGCCTTGGGTACAACATCTCTACTGACCAATACATGGTAGAGCTGAGGCCGCAGCTCAGTGGACCCTTAGCTGAGGTGGCAGCTGAAATGCCTAAAGAACACATGAACAAGTATGAACTGTTTAAATCCAAGGCGAGAGTCAGAATGGGGATAACACCCGAGCAGTCTCATCGGAGGTTCAGAGCCCTAAGGTGGAAACCAGACATGTCATTTACCCGACATGCCTACCACATTGTGAAACATTGGGATGCCTGGATATCAGGAGCAAGTGTTGAATCTCCAGTAAATTTGCCCTTCCTAATGCAAATGGAACAATTCTTAGAGGGTGTTCCTGAGGAAATAGAAAGATACATCCTAGATGGGAAACCCAAAACTGTAATTGAGGCAGGAGAGATTGGAGCCAGATGGGTGGAGGTGGCAGAGAAGAAGAAAACTGGTCGCAGTTGGAGCGGAGACCAGAAGGGACCACCCCAGACCACACCCTATTACCGGGGGCCGCCCAAAGCCCCACCTACCTCCCAAAGAGCCCTCCAGACCCCTTATCGTCCCACCACCCCGTTCTCCAGCAACCCTCCTCGCCCCAGTGACCCGTCAGCTGGACGATGTTTTAAATGTAACGAGCTGGGGCATGTAAAGGCCAACTGCCCCAAGAACCCCAACAGATTACAGTTCATTGCACCGGAATCACACCAGAGGTCCACAGGCCCAGATACCTCCCAGATACCCTTGGAGCGGAGGGAAACTGTGAGTGTGGGCGGGAAGAAGGTCACCGCGTGGAGGGACACCGGAGCACAAGTGTCAGCTATCCATGCTTCCTTAGTGGACCCCAATTTAATCAACCCAGAGATCCAAGTGACGATTCAACCCTTCAAGTCCAACTCTTTCAATTTGCCTACAGCCAAGTTGCCTGTCCAGTACAAGGGCTGGTCAGGAATGTGGACTTTTGCAGTCTATGATGATTATCCCATCCCCATGCTGTTGGGGGAAGACTTGGCCAATCATGTGAAGCAGGCCAAGAGGGTGGGAATGGTCACCCGCAGCCAGGCTAAACAAGCCGTGAGGCCTAGCTCTGTTCCGGAAACTTCTATCAGGACCCAGTCAGAGGTGATGGACCTGGACACCAGGCCAATGTCTGCAACAGCAGTAGTGGATCCAGTCCCAGAGACCCAGACGGAACCAGTCCCAGAACCGGAACCAGCCGAACAACCAACACCAGACCCCGTGTCAGCACTGAATCCAGTACTTGCAACCTCAACACCAGAGGGCCCCACCGAACCTGAACTGGCAGCAGCCGATAACCCGACCCAAGAGGCTCAGCCGGAGCCTGAATCCCAACATAGTGCACCAGCGGAGAGCGGTTCACAGTCAACAGAAACAGCTCCATCCCCTATATCGCTTCCAGAGGGACCAAGCCTAGGTCCACAATCCCATGAGGAACTGATGTCTCCAGCATCAAGGGAACAGTTCCAGACTGAACAGGAAGCAGATGAAAGCCTCCAGAGAGCTTGGACGGCGGCACGGAGCAACCCACCGCCTCTCAGCTCTTCTAATTGATCCAGGTTTGTTGTAGAAAGAGGACTTTTATACAAGGAAACTCTTTCTGGTGGACACCAGGAAGACTGGCATCCTCAGAGACAGTTGGTAGTTCCAACTAAATACCGGGCCAAGCTCTTGAGCTTGGCCCATGATCACCCTAGTGGCCATGCTGGGGTGAACAGGACCAAAGACCGTTTGGGGGGGTCATTCCACTGGGAGGGAATGGGCAAGGATGTTTCTACCTATGTCCAGTCTTGTGAGGTGTGCCAAAGAGTGGGAAAACCCCAAGACCAGGTCAAAGCCCCTCTCCAGCCACTCCCCATCATTGAAGTTCCATTTCAGCGAGTAGCTGTGGATATTCTGGGTCCTTTTCCGAAAAAGACACCCAGAGGAAAGCAGTACATACTGACTTTCATGGATTTTGCCACCCGATGGCCAGAAGCAGTAGCTCTAAGCAACACCAGGGCTAAAAGTGTGTGCCAGGCACTAGCAGACATTTTTGCCAGGGTAGGTTGGCCCTCCGACATCCTCACAGATGCAGGGACTAATTTCCTGGCAGGAACTATGAAAAACCTTTGGGAAGCTCATGGGGTAAATCACTTGGTTGCCACTCCTTACCACCATCAAACAAATGGCATGGTGGAGAAGTTTAATGGAACTTTGGGGGCCATGATACGTAAATTTGTAAATGAGCACTCCAATGATTGGGACCTAGTGTTGCAGCAGTTGCTCTTTGCCTACAGAGCTG